GCCTCAGCCTCCTGAGTAGCTGGGATTACAGGCACGCACCACCATGCCCAGCTAATTTTTTGTAGTTTTAGTAGAGACGGGGTTTCACCATGTTGACCAGGATGGTCTCGATCTGTTGACCTCGTGATCCACCCGCCTCGGCCTCCCAAAGTGCTGGGATTACAGGCGTGAGCCACCGCACCCGGCCCAGGAATTTCTATTTTTCAAAATAAATCTTTATAGCGCTATTTGGTTCTTTAACCTACATGCATGTATTACTTCAATCTAAAAATTACATTAAAAAGTTACAGTCAGATAATCTGAGTTACCACATACATTAAATGGAAAAGAAGGCAGGAGAACCAGAGATATGGAAAATATTTGAGATTTCCTTCCGTTCCTCCATGGGGCCTGTGTTTCCTCCTGTTTATCTCAGCTCTGTCTTCCCTGGTACTAGCTATTAACCAAATTCCAGTAGAATCACCCTGTTTTTCTCTGCAAAGTTCTCTCTAATGACTAAATTAGCAGTTAGAATTACACAGCACAGAAAGGCTCTGGTCAAACATCAGAAGCCACTGACATCTCCCCGTGAGTGAATGGATATGCTTTCTTCAAATGCAAAGTTGTTTTTCTTTCTTTTTTTTTTTTGAGACAGAGTCTCACTCTGTCACCCAGGCTGGAGGGCAGTGCCATGATCTCTGCTCACTGCAACCTCCGCCCTCCGGGTTCAAGTGATTCTTCTGTCTCAGCCTCCCAAGTAGCTGGGACTACAGACTCCAATTTCTTTAAAGCACACGTAGGTAGTTTTGTTTCTTTAGCAAACAACAACAAAAAGGATATTTGTGCTTCTGATCTAAGTCGAAGACTTCCTGACCTTTTGTTGCTCTCTATAAAAGAGAATATACAAATTTCATAATCAAATTCTGCCTATAGTACAGACAGTTGTTTCTAAACCATTAAAACTCCCAGGTGGTTCTCTTCTGTATCCAATGAACAAAGAAAGATTGGAAGTATGGCAAGTGCATTTATGCCAGGACTCAGCATGACTGAGGATGAGAAACACACATGCGCAGAGTGTTCAAACTCCTAGTTCTTCCTAATCACCCTTTTGCTATCCTCTCACTGAAACAGTGGCAGTCACTTTTCAAGAGGAGGGTGCTTACAGCTGAGAACAAAGAAAGCAGCTTAGCTTTGAGTTTCAAATTAGACTTTTTTAAAGCCCATAGCCAAAACAATAATCTTAAAAGCACAGATTTCCTTTGCAAGTGCCAGGCCCTTGAGATAGAAAATGTTTTTTTGTTGTTGTTGTTGTTGTTCTTTTTGTGTTTTGTTCTCACTGTTAAAATCTTAGATCTTTTCCCAGAAAACATGGGGGTGGGTGGCAGTGAAACATAAGAGGGCAGAATAAAAGGAACTATAGGAGGTAACAAGAGAAACCCAAAATAGGTTGAAGGAAAATCAAAGGCAATAAAGAAGTATATCCAGCTTCCCATCCAGAAGTCTACAACATGACAGACACAGAGTGGTCAGTTCAGCCATCACACAGATGCTACAGTGAAGTATATTATGAAAAGTGGAAAAGTTGGGAGGATGAGGTAGGAGGTCCCAAACTAAGTTATTAGCTCTGTACAGAAAAATGAAGTCAGTCACATGTTCACTCACCTACGTTTCATTGTATAAAAATTTAAACCCAAGACTGAAGAATTTAGGTCTGACTAGTACCGTTTTACTTTGTTTTGAATTTGCAGCTTTTCAAATATGGAGATTGAAATACATTTTTTTCTTCTGGAGGATTTATTGAGCACCTGCTACGCCCCTGTTACACCAGCGATACAGAGTGGAACTAGAAAGACAAGCTCCCTGCCTTTGTGGCTCCCATTTTAGTTGGAAATACAAGCAATAATTACATAAAGAAAGAATTAAAGAACCATGATGAAGTAATTATAAGGTATAAAGTAACAGGGACACTTTAGACAGAATGGAGAAAAAAGGTTTCATGGCAGTAAACCAGAGAAAAGGTGGTATGAATTAACAATCCCTGATTATTTTTCCCACAGAGCTAGGAAAAACTAAAATGGTTCTCTTCTTCCTTTTTGCGTCATTACCTTAGCTCCTTTCCACCTCTGCCTGCCAAGTGACATCCCATGCTCCAGAAGTCTTCTCCACCCTTCCCTGAAATCTCAGCAATTCTTTTCTCTTCATTGAGACACTGTGCTAGTTTAAAACTCAGTCCAAGCTGGTACAGAGATGAGGGACTTACATCCTGTAGAGGAAAAAACAGCAGCTTCAAGGAACCTTCTGGAGTCAAGAACACACGAAGCAGGATTTTTAATGGTGGGACCATCAAGCAAAATATCTGGGAGTCAGCTGGTTCCCACGAAGTCATTTTTGTAGGAGAAACTGCTCAGCCTATCAAGAGAGCTGCCCTTGATCTTTCAAAAATTTGTTCACAATATCACAGTTCTCAGCATTAAGGCACACAGTAACATGATTCAGCAAAGCAAACAGAGGAGAAATAGCAAGAGAGGTCAGGGGAGAGCCAGAAAGAGAGAAAGATTAAAGAAACCAAAAAAGTACTTCCATATGCATGAAAAAGTGTCTATGAAATCTAGAAAATGTACTCTCAGAGGCAGTACAGGAGAAGCAGCCCATCTTCAATAGGGAGTAAATGGAGAAAAGGAAGTAAAGACACACTCTTTAGAAACCTTAAAAAGGGAAGAATTGGTGGATAAGGCAAAGATAATGCAAGGTCCAGGTCAACTGTTTAATCACATATGTATATCATCTTAGGATTAAAAAGACATGAGCATGATTACTGGCTGATGAGAAAGAGCCAGGAGGAGGGGGGGGGGAGAGAGAGAGAGAGAGAGAGGGAGAGAGAGAGACAGAGAGAACACAGAAAAAAGGACAGGGCTGGATGTGGTGGATCATGCCTGTAATCCCAGCACTTCGGGAGGCCAAGGCAGGCAGATCACTTGAGGTCAGGATTTTGAGAGCAGCCTAGCCAACATGGTGAATCCCCATCTCTACCAAAATATACAAAAATTAGCTGGGCATGGTGGTGTGCACCAGTAGTCCCAGCTACTTAGGAGGCTGAGAAACAAGAATTACTTCAACCTGGGAGGCGGAGGTTACAGTGAGCTAAGCTCATGCCACTGCACTTCAGCCTGGGCAACAGAGTGAAACCCTGTCTCAAAAAAAAAGAGAGAAAGTAAAAAAGAAAGGAAGGAAGGGAGGAAGGGAGGAAAGGAGGGAGAGAAGAAGGGAGGAAGGGAGGGAAGGAGGGAAGGAGGGAAGCAGGCAGGCAGGCAAACGATTGGAAGGCAAAAAAAAAAAAAAAAAAATCAAGCTACAGCGCAAATCTATGTCCAAACCCTGGGCCACTTCACTGAATGCTACAATCATATATGTAACTATCCACTGGACACAACGAAGGATCATCCATCGGTAACTTCAGAGCAGTTGCTTACCCTGAAAGCCGTACATCCTGACTCTCTTTCTCTCAAACCCTCATGTTTTGCTGGTCCTTACCATATGTCCAGAATCTAAGCAATTCTAACCACCACTATTACTATCTCTCACCTTGACCTGTCTGCCCTCTTCCATCCCTCACCCTGTACAGTCTATTTTCCACACAGCAGCCAGATTGACATTTGTAAGATGTAAGACAAATCAAGCCAGTCTGGCCTGAAACCCTCAAAAGTCTTCCCATTTGGCTCAGAATAAGGGAAACTATCCTGTCCTCTAAGGCCCCACATGGTTTGCACCCTTGGCCGCCCCAGCCCACCTTCCTATGGGGAGAGTCAGGAGTGTAAAGGAATGCACATCACAACACTCTTCTTTTTCACAGAAGTAACAGGAAGGCCATCTTCTGCAATGAAGATGAGAGGTCATAGGTTTGGGAAAGGAAAAGAACACATGAGAGTTGTACAGGAATAGTTTGCTCAGCAAAATGTTAGAGGAAGAAGATTTGTAAGATTGCTAACCATGCATTTTAGGGGCAGCTGTTCACAGGGCTGCCTAGTTGACTCCAGCTAGTGCTCAGCAACCCTGGAACCAAAAAAGGGACAAACAGATCCAGATGGGGTTTTAAGGCAGCAAAAGGGCAGGGGATGGAGGAATTTGGAGTATCAGTGTGTGCATGGGGAGGAGGGTCTGCTATTCTCTAGCTAGGTCCTCATGAGGGAAAGAAGTTGGGGAAACACACCTAGGAAGGGATCCTTTTACCCTTTTCGAAGAACAGGGAAATTCAATAGCACAGTCTCAGAAAAGTTCCTGAGGTCTATGGTTCCCACACCAAAGTCTCATCAGAAGAATCAATACCAGACCTGCCTCCTTTGCTGATGCCTAACTAGAGGCATGAATTTAAATGTCTTTCCCTTACAGGACACTTTAAATGAGTAAGGGTCCTAAATTAGACCTTCACAGATTAAGATTTTGGGTGGTTGTTAAAAATAGGTTCAACTTTAAAGGAGATAGAATCTAAAAAGGGTAGCTACAGAGCTAGTTTCAAAGGGAATTTTTAAAGTCTCCAGTATTTCCTGAGAGTCAACTTGGATATAGTTCTTACCGCATAAAGATCTCCTTACCTACACACTCAGCCTAAAACCACCACCATGTGTCTGTTACCTAACCTCCCAGGGAGGGTTAACTCAGTCATCACAACATATGAAAATATTAAATACATAAGTAAGAAGAGTCACTTAGGAGCTGGCTTAGAAAGTACTCCAAATAAAATCCCCTCTCTGGCCATATCAAAGAAATTCTTAAATCTATGCCTAAAGGTCTTTGGTATGACATTTATTTTAATAAGTTCTAAATATATTCATCTATGAATCTGTGAGTCTTTTGACCTGTGAAAAAACATTTAAGTATGACATTTTAAGCAAAATTAAAATCAGATGTCGATTGATGGATATCACACATGTAAGCATCCTCTACATCCCCACTGTTTGTTCCATAGCAGAATATCGTTTCACCTACCAGGTGACAGTATATTTTCTCCTAGGAATCAACCTGAAATTCACTGGAAAGTCACCAAATAATCTTGTAATCAGCAGTAAATAAAATTCTCCTCTGACTAAAATGTCAGTTCTAAGAAAGTTCGATTTCATAAAAACTAAGTCAATGCTATCTTTCATTTTATAACACAAAAGAGAAGCTCCATGTACATGTTATGCATCTAACAATCTAACAAGCATATTTTCTTGAACTTGAAATTTGATTTTAAAAAACATATTGGCTGTGAAAAATTAGCATAATCTACCTCCATGAGGTTAATGGTTATTAATACATTATTTTCTTTCATACAGGGGAAAAAATGGTTTGGACCCCGTGAGTTCCCCACATGGCTCTCTCCCCTCAACTGGCCAATGAAATAAGTCAGAGAAAGTCACTGATGACCTCATAAGGCCACCCAGATCTCTCCTGACTTGCTCTCCCAGTGGTTCTGCTGTCCCCGCTTCCTTCTTAAAGCTTTCTCATCCTTTGTTAGCAAGCGACTCTCCTTCCAGAGCCATGCTTCCATTCTACCTCACTGGGTTCTCTTCTCAGCCCCTCTGTGGCTCTCCTTCTTCCAGAGTCTACCCTTGGCCAGCTTTATTCTGACTGTACCCTACACTTCCTTGACATGATTACTTTCTATACATTGTTATTCCCAAAGAGATCTCTCTATGCCTCATATCACTGGAAACCAGAACCACATTTCTAACCGCCTAATGAACACTTCCCTCAGAATAACCTGCAGGAAAAAGAACCACTTTCCTCCAGTAATAACCGCACCTTCTTTCCTATTTTAGAAAAAAGCTTCATCATACATTCAGCTGAATTTGCTAGAAATCTACAAGTGCTTTCAAACTCGTCCTTCTAAAATATCCCCACATTCATTCATTTACCCATAAAAACATTTTTTAAAGTTTCAGGAAGCTTGGCCAGGTGCACTGGCTCATGCCTGTAATCTCAGTACTTTGGGAGGCCAAGGTGGGTGGATCATCTGAGGTCAGAAGTTCGAGACCAGCCTGACCAATACAGTAAAACCCGGTCTCTACTAAAAATACAAAAATTAGCCATGTGTGGTAGCACATGCCTATAATCCCAGCTACTCAAAAAGCGGAGGCAGGAGAATCACTTGAACACAGAAGGCAGAGGTTGCAGTGAGCCAAAATGGCACCATTGCACTCCAGCCTGTGTGACAAGAGCGAAACTCTGTCTCACAAAAAAAAAAAAAAAGTTTCAGGAAGCTTACATACATCTCTTTTGGGGTATCACAAATAACTCTGCAATGTAGAGACTATTATTTCTATTTTACAAATGATGGTTTACATAACTGATACAAATTCTTTTAAGTTATGATGCAAAAAATTGAACCTAGATTCATTTGTCTGACTCCAAAGTCCATGGTGTTTTCACAAACCATGAAACCACCTGATCTGCCACCTGTTTAAAGTTGTATTGGAACATGGCCACACTCATCTGTTTAGGTATTGTTTATGGCTGTTTTAGCACTACAAAAGCAGAGGTGAGTAGTTTGCAACAAAGACCATATGGCTCACAAAGCCTAAGATTCTGTCTACCCATTTATAAAAAAAAAAAAAAAACTTGCAAACTCTAATCTATACCATCCTCCATGTATCTACCACCTCAGTTTATGTCTTCCTGGATTGCTGCAACAGCCTTCTAACTGATTTCTCTGCCAGTAGCCTCTCTCTTCTCCAATTCATCGTCGACAATAAAGAATCAAATTTTTCTTATTTATTCCATAACCTTTAGGATAAAAGACAAACTCCTTGTGAAACAATGGAATGCTTTTTGACATCTTGGTTCTTTCATTTCTTTCCATTCACATCTACTTTCCACTCAAGCCAAAATGAAATGCATGGAGTTCCCCGAAAGGGCCAAGCTATTTGATTTCCATAGTTTTGCATATACTATGTTCTTCATACCTGGAAAGTACCTAAGTCCTGCCTCATTTATTTACTTATTTTGTATTCTCAGCTCAAGAGTCACTTTCTTCTAGAAATGTTCCTGGACTCCCTCAGGCTGAATGAGATGAGCTTTTTAATTCATTCATTAATTCATTCAACATGTATTCAATGGGCACAACTATCAAGTAGGATATAATGCTTTGTGCTAAATATACAGTGATGAACAAGACAGACTGTTTTTACAAGTCCAACTTCTATATTCCCTGTTCTAAGTCTTAGCTCTCTTAGTTCACAGTATAAAGAGAGACGAGATGAAGATGAAGGCAGAGATGGACATTGAGATGGGAGTGAAGACAGTAAGGAAGAGAGAGACGGATCAGTGATTTTCTTGTTTAACTCTCTTATCATATTAAAAGCTTACTGAGGACTCAAAAGTATCTAGTGTTTCTTGAACATCAATGTATACCAGAACACCTAACACAAGGCTGAATGAATTAAATAATTTTGAAGAATACAAGAGATGAAGATCCTTGCAAAGAGTTCAGGCTAGTTAACAGGCTATCAAGAAAATTTCCTGCTGTTTTCTGGTGAAAGTCAACCTTTACAGAATTTAAGAGGCTTTGTGAAAATGTGACTAGGCACGAAAAGAAAGATGAGTATAAAATAACATTCCTGCAAAAGACACAAGCTCTAGTTGGAATAAGAATCAGGGAGTAAAGCGCATATCACAAAGCCTTTTTCTAAATACTGGTCTATACATCTGGAACTGCTAAAGCATGAAAAAAGGTGCCTATAACCCTGAAATTTGGGCTCCATAAAATGTTTTTCCTCATAGAAAACTCATCTCGAAAGGACAGGATAGGAAAGGAGAGGAGGGGAGAGCAGAGAAGAGGAAAGCAGTGGGGAGGGAAGAGGAGGGGAGGGAGGGAGGGGAGGGGAGAGGAGGGGAGGGAGGGAGGGGAGGGGAGAGAAGGGAAAGGAGGGGAGGGGAGGGGAGGGAAGGGAGGGAAGGGGAGGGGAGAGAAGGGAAAGGCGGGGGAGGGAAGGGAGGAGAGGGGAGGGGAGAGAAGGGAAGGGAGGGGAGGGGAAGGAAGGGAAAAAGCCTTCTTCACAAGCTTGGTAAAGCAGACACTAAGAATTGACCCAGTTTTCAAAATAAACATTAGGCTTAAAGCTCTCCCCATCTGGCTAAAACTAAAGTCCAAAATAAAAATCAGCATGTACGCACTGCATTTTCTACCTACACCACAATAACAAGGCCAAGAAAAATTTTAACATGTAACTTAATATTATACCTGAGATACCTGAAGTCTCATATTAAGATTTGTAGAACATTTTTTTTCTAATATTAGGAAAGGCAACAACCCACTTTTAAGCCTGTCTGGATATCCATCTAGGTCGAGTACTTCTCCAAGTTCAAGTCCCACTGGGCATGGTGTGCAGTCTCTTCCTGCGCCCCAATCTTTTACACTGAGACACAAGCCTTTCAGTCTTCCTAGCTTCCTAATTTCTATATGGAAAAACGCTTCACTTTCCAAAAGCATTTTTTCTTTTCTCTGTAATATTTATTCCCTGACAATCTTTCCTCTTAACCATTACAGAACATTTTCTATGGAAAACACATCTTACGCTCCATAAAGCAATGTATGCACTATCTGTAAAAAGCCCTAACATCTTTGTGACACCACTTTTTTTCCTTCTTAACCTCATCTCCAATAACCAGTTCCATGCCACAGACAGGGGCATAACTGCTCTAAGAGAATCTTAGAAGTATAGAATGTTAGCCCTAAAAGGGACCTTAAAAGTCATTTATTTCAACTTTGGTATTTCACAATTGAAAAAATAAAAGTAAAACTCAGAGAGATGTAAATACTCTCCAAGTTCACACAGGCCTTTGCTCCCAATTTACTCTATATTCTCCCAGTCTCTGGATCTTACCATCTTCTATTTATTTCCTTCTCCCGTGGGAGAGGTCAGGGCAATGCCTACAATCACGGCTTGACTTTTATGTGAATTCCACGGAGGATGCTGAATAAGCTCATCAACATGAGAATATGATGTGTGGGTGGCATGGGTTTCCTCTGCATGGTGCTGATTGACCAGAGTGCCACTAAGTGCTTCCCAGTTGCTCTTAACTGCCTACATGAAGATTCAGATTTCTCATCATACGATCCTGCTGGCAGATGATTTTGCTATACATTTAAATGTGCTAAACCATTTGTCTGCTGCATTATAGATCATACTAGTCAATTACAGAAAGTTTTTAGACTGTTTACATGATTATCAATTACATCCTATTTGAAAATTGCAGATTAGCATCATTATGACAGGATTTCTTGTCCACCAATTAAATATTTATAATTTTTAGTTTGGTTTGTTTTGTGTTTTAAGAGTCAGTTTGCATAGCATCACAGCAGGACAAACTCTCATTGACACATACTGCATGGGTCAGGCTGTTTCAATTTACTAAAGCAAACAATAGAAAGAGTAGAAAAATGCTTTTAGAGCAAATTAATACCCAAATTCCAATATCGTAGCCCTTTGACATATGCCGAAAACGTGTTTAATAATGTACTTAAT